CTCAGATTTCCTCAGAGGTAAGCCTTCTCTCAATGCAGCCTCGTCAATTTGGATGACGGTTATTCCAGCCTTCTCTAGATCCTCAACCTCGTCCTTGATGGCCAAAGCAATCTGGTAGCACGTCTCGAACCTTGAAATCCCGAGAAATAAAAACATTAGAATTCACGACCAAAAAAAAAAGTAGCTAATATAGAGATGAATATAATAAATAAACTATTTTATATACCTAGGTTGATCATTTCTGACGAAAGACCAGTTAAGAATGGTGACGGGACCCGTAAGCATTCCTTTCATCGGGCGCTTGGTCATGCTCTGGGCAGCAGTTGACCAGAAAACAGTCATAGGTTTCGGGCGGCTCACATCACCATAGATGATTGGCGGCTTTACACAGCGAGATCCATAGGATTGGACCCACCCATTGGCTGTGAAGGCAAAGCCGGACAATTGCTCACCAAAGTACTCAACCATATCGTTTCTCTGGAAAATTCAAAACATCCCGGTATATATTAGTGCCAACCAAACTTCACTTTCCTCGAAATCAGAATAACAATTTAGCCCTTTTTTCTCATTCATATATAGTTCAATACAAAATCATGATTCTGATTGGCTTTTACCTCTGGCTCTCCATGAACAAGAACATCGATATCGAGCTCTTCCTGAAGCTTGACAACCTTGTTGATCTCCTCCTTAATAGCCTTGATGTAATCCTCCTCAGAGATCCTACAAAGAAATGTGTTGCCTTTAGTATACTGTATACATATTCCATCAGTTTAAAAAAAAAGAGCCACAAAAAAAAGCACTCACTTCTTGGCCTTATACTCACGACGAACTCTCCTGAGCTCGATGGTCTGAGGGAAGGAACCAATAGTTGTGGTGGGGAGGATCGGAAGATTTAGTTTCTTCTGTTGAGCATCGAGTCTGGCACTTACATTTGTTGCACGGCGGTGATCAGAACCCTTTAACGCAGCAGCCTGATTGAACACAAGCAAAACGGATTATAATACAATAAAGGTACTTGAAAGTTCTAAATCTCAATATAAGTATTTACTTACAGCCTTCTGGACAGCTTCATTAGTCACCCTGGGAGATGATTTTCTGGAAGCTTGAGCAGCAGCATTTGCAGAAAAGAAGGCCTGCAGGTACAATATAATATTTCAAGGTTTAAGGGTTTAATAGCAAGATTCAATCTTAAATTGGATTCGTGCTCTTGAATTAGCAGTGAGATTTACCTCATCTTTCTGGCCAGCAAGTGCCTTCGCCAGAGCATTCACTTCGACAACCTTTTGCGCGGCGAATGCAAGCCATGACTTGATTTCTTGATCCAACTTAGTCTCATTAACAAGA